CAGTGTTGTTGTTGGGCCCCAGCCCAGTAAGTGAGTGTTGTTGGGCCCCAGCCCAGTAAGTCAGTGTTGTTGGGCCCCAGCCCAGTAAGTGAGTGTTGTTGGGCCCCAGCCCAGTAAGTGAGTGTTGTTGGGCCCCAGCCCAGTAAGTCAGTGTTGTTGGGCCCCAGCCCAGTAAGTGAGTGTTGTTGGGCCCCAGCCCAGTAAGTGAGTGTTGTTGGGCCCCAGCCCAGTAAGTCAGTGTTGTTGGGCCCCAGCCCAGTAAGTGAGTGTTGTTGGACCCCAGCCCAGTAAGTCAGTGAGTGTTGTTGGAGCCCCAGCCCAGTAAGTCAGTGTAACTGGGCCCCAGCCCAGTAAGTTTAGTGTTGGAGGGCCCCAGCCCAGTAAGTGTGTGTTGTTCGGCCCCAGCCCAGTAAGTGGGTGTTGTTGGACTCCATTGTTTGTCGGTTTGAGAGTGTTGTTGGGAATTGACCAGGGTTGTGAATGTGGGACTCCTAAGAATTTGGCTTCCTTCTTAATTCTATTTTTTGGTTATTTAGGTGCTGTTTGGGTGTGTTATTTTGCAATTCTTGATTTTTGAAGAGTATGCCCACGTTTTTTTAACATTTATGAGGAACCCCGATTGTTGAGCCCAATTTTGAATATGGCTAAGCATTTTTTGACATTTGGTCGAGGCTTGTTTAAAAGAGGTGGAAGAGGTCCAGAAGGAAATGTCATCTGCAAATTTAGATTTGGAAAATTCTGGCCTTTTTTTCTGGGAATATATTGTTCATCATGCAGTTAAAAAGTGTTGGAGATAATATGCTGTCCTGGGGGTCCCATTTTCTAGGGGTGGGGGTCCGAAAGGGTGTTGCGAGATTTGAGGGTTATGAGTCTATTATTAAGGAAAGAGTGGATGAAATTTAGAATTCTGCCGTGTATGGCTTGTTTTTGTAGCTTTTGTATGAGGCCGTTGTGCCAAACCATGTCAAATGCCTTACTAAAGTCAATGAAAATGGCCATGGTGTATTGTTTTTGTGCATGGATTACTTTGATATCTTGTTCTAAATGTTAAATTTGGTCCAAAGTTTACCGGTTTTGACTAAAGCTACTCGGGTCTTTTGAATAAATGAGATGTTTGAGCCTGTTGTTAATGATGCTTTCTAGGGTTTTACATAAATGTGAAGTGAGAGAAATGGGGCGACAGGAGTCGGGCTCATTGCTGGGTTTCCCTGGTTTGAGGATAGGTACCACCCTGGCTGTTTTCCATGTGTCTGGTATAGTATCTAAATTCCAGATATGATTAAGGAGGGTAAGTGTTAGGTTTTGCATGTTGGGTGTGAGTTTGTTGAGTATAGTGTATGTAATGGTATCTGGACCCGGGGCTGAGGTTGTCTTGTTGTTTCTGAGTGCAGATTGTAGTTCGTGTATGTTTATGATTTTGTTTATTGGTAAGTCTGTATGGGGTGGTTGTGGGGTGTATGGGGGGTGGTTATTTATGGTGTTTTGGAAGGAGGGTGGGTAGTTGGTGGAGTTGCTTACGGCCGAGAGGTGGGCAGCAAATGCATTAGCTCTGTCTTTGTTTGTGGCTAGGTCCGGAAAGTTTGGATAAATGTATTTTTGGAGATGCCCTTGATGGCCTTAAATTTGTTCCACATGGTTCTGGAGTTTCGGTTTGTAAGCCTTAGGGTAGAACAAAACAATTTCCAGTGGTCATTTTTTTGCTGCCTTGATTAATTTCTTAGTTTTGTTTCTTAGTTGTTTCGCCAACTGTAATTTGGAACGGTCCCTTTCTGATTGATTTAGGGCACTTTTTCTTGCCTTTCTGGCATTAATGATTTCTGTGCTCCACAAGGGAACTGTTTTTTTCTGCAGGGTTGTACCGAAAAGTGGGAATAGACTTTTCTGCGATGTCAAGTATGGCGTTAGTGAGATTTCTGTTGAAAATGTTTATGTCTGTGTTAAAGATGGCTGTAGTGTCTATTTGTTTACATAAGGTGTTGAATTTGTTCCAGTTGACTTTTTTAATGTTGAATCTTATCTCTGTGGGTGTTGAGGGTGGCGGTGGGGTGTGGTGGGTGTGGTGGGTGTGTGTATGTGTGAATCCTAGAAGGGACATTGTCCCATTGAAAATGCCATACGCAACCAAAGAGCAACATTTTGGCTAACAGAAATAAAACGATGTTGAAGATGACTATGATACACATTTATTTAACTTATTAGCTACCAAACCTTTTCGAGTGATTTGTCAGAGAGATTACTCAAACACACGTTGGATATCTGACAGTGAACACCTGGTGTCATAACTGATTTCAATTGATCCATTTGTAAATCTTCCATCACCGTTTGTCTTTCATGTTGTTCTGGCAGATATCCATGTCTGAACATCCTGTTTTTGTACTTTGGGCAACGCCATCGTGGTCATTTTAGTTTTCTTGTTGCTATAGGGGCGGTGGGGTGGCCTAGTGGTTAAAGCATTGCCTCGTTATGCCGAAGACCCGGAAGGGTTCGAAATACCCCATTTATTAGTGTGCCATGGCACGATAAACATTGCAATGGCACGGGTAAATATGTTCCCGGTGCCCTTATGGCACTCTTATTTTTTATAGACATAACTCACCTTTAGTCATTTAATCCCCTAAACAAAACACTTGCGCAAATGACAAACAAGCAAAAACATTTATTGACTTTATCACCCAGGAAATCACTGGAATTATGACTAATGATGTAAAGAAATCTGGTTGTTTTTCCATTTAGAGTGTTGGGAGTACTGATAGTTTGGTTATTGAAAAGGAAATTAAGCATGTTAGACATATTTAACAAGTGAACCTTTCACAACTTCTTAGCTTTTAAAAGTGTTGGGAAAGCAGGACAAATGTAACATAAGAAAGCCATCTTAGACAGAAGACATCAGTGATAACAGAAAACAGGTTACATTTGTTGTGTACTAATAATAAATTTCAAGAGATCATCATCTTTGCTACAGTCATTTATTCTAAACACATGTAGGCACACTTGATTTCTGAAAGGTACATTTACAATATTTTCATGGTGCCCAAAGGCACACTTAAAACAAAAAGTATTTCTATCCCTGCCCGGGTTCGAATCCCCACATGGGTACAATGTGGTGTCTGGTTTCCCCCGCCATGATGTTGCTGGAATATTGCTAAAAGCGGCGTAAGACCAAACTCAGTCAGTCAGTCAGTCTTGTTGCTATATGTTAGCATAAAATATTACAAATTTATAAGCAATGTTATTATTACATCACAATGTCTCTGTTCAGCTTCAGTTGAAGGTAGTGATGGGCTTGCTGCTACACTTGGAGTCTTGGGCCATAGAAACAAAGAGCACTGATCATGAGCTGAATTTGATGGAATGACAAAAATAACCAGTCTCACATCCTCTCTTAATATATTTTATTCCAGTACAACACATATTCTGCACATGCACAGAGTGTCAGTTTATGGCATAGAAAAATAGCTAGAAATTATCTCCTACATCTGCATGGAACTTGAAAGCACATCTCAGGTCATTGTAGGTCATTTGCAACAGTTATGCATCTATACTACAGCCTCCTAACCACAATCCATACTACAGCCTCCCTACATATCCCTGACAATACAACGACATTCATTACATGTACTCCTAAACCTGGGTCTCTCGGGACACATTCCCTCAACTATACATCAACAGTGTTACGACTGTCATGGAACTGTGTCCCAGTATAGACAGTTGGTGTTAGAAACTGCTTCTCTTGACCATGCATTCCGTCAGAACAATCATTTGTTTGAACTGAAAATATCTTTCTAGAGGTTTTGTAGCTTATAACGCTGTGGAAAATAAACTAAATAATATTTTTACTTTGTTTTGTAATAGCAATATTAACATGCTAATTGCCCTGAAAGAAAATGTTCGTATTTTTTTCAAATTGTACATTTCCTCTTTTGTGAGAGAGTAATTTATGTCTTGAAACAGTGAATGACAAAAGAATCCGGTTTCTATTAAAAGTTTTACCAAAATAACTAATGGTTGGTCCCAATTTTGGAAAATTATGAAAATTTCTAGGAAAATTATATTAATATTGCATTCTGCATAGGTGCAGACTTCATGCTGTGTTGTCCTCTTGTTACCGGCGTGCTGGTTTAGACAAGAGTTCCACATTCCTGTCTCGTTGACACCGATATGAACTTCCAGTGAAGATCACCTGACAATACTTATAAGAACACATACCATGTACTACAGGATCTATGCAAATCTCACAACAAGTCCAGGTACTCATTGAAAATGTTTGCATAGTAACATTCGGTAACTTACAAATCAGTGAGTAAACATGATATTTAATCATTCATGTTTCCAAAATCCTGAATACAGCCACACAAAAGTTATTGTATTGTGTTAGAACGATTTTGTTAAAAACAGCATCTTGTAAAATCCACTGTTACACTATTGCTTGATTATTGTGTAAGTTTGGCCGAGGATACACCATCTTGTTCGGTTTCCATGACAACTACACACAATGTATGTACAGATTTAATCTGAAGTATGGAAAACAACCAGTGAATGGAATGTATGATATCACAAATGCTTTAAATCTTCAAACACTTCACCTGATATCCTCTCATACAATATTACATGACTTTTGGCACAGGCCAGACTTTGTACAGACCTCCCAGAAGTGATTGAGTGAGTTGGGTTTTACGCCACTTTTTGCAATATTCCAGCAATATCATGGCAGGGGACACCAGAAATGGGCTTCACACATTGTACCCATGTGGGGAATCGAACCCGGGCCTTCGGTATGGGGTATGGGTGTGGTGTGATGTGTGGGTGTGGATGTGGGTGTGGGTGTGGGTGTGGTGTGGGTGTGTCAATCAGACAGACCACACTCCTTATTCTCCAGGCATCATGGTCTTCACCTTGCTGGGAGGTCTGTGTGAATGACTATCACATTAAACACAAGCAAGCTTGCTAAACAAACATGTCAACTAAATACAATTTCCTCGCAGCAACACTGAGTATTTTCATTTGTTATAAACACTGGAACCACCTTCAAGAATAATATTTACATATCGCTCCTATCACTCTCATTATAGATCAACTTTTAGGCTGGAGTAAAATTTGATAAACAAGAAAACTTTCAACATATTAAGTTTATGCACATAAAATTTCAAACGATTTGATTTGACATAAATAAAATACTGCTACATGAACTGTATGTCATTTGTTTTGAACATTATTGAACTGACAAACTGTCATGAAGATGTACCTTCATAAACACTGACATACAAATTATATTCTGTACATGAGATAAACTCTTCTGAATTCTTACAGATATCAGAATGTGCTTATTTCACTATTACATATCACATTTCAGCCTTAAAATCTCACATTTGAGGGCTTTGTTTTGTGTAATTAGAAATATTGAAATATGTCCAGGAATCATTTATGAAACAAAATCAGTGAAGTGACATTAAAATAACCTAACCATCTGCAAACATTATATTATATAACTCAGACAAACACTCATTCTTGTCTCGAGATTCTCACTAACCTATTCCAAGCTGCAGCTACAAGCCCACCTCCGTCATCTACATGTGTGCATGATATACCTGTAATCTGCAGATGTACCTGTATCTACATGCCCACCTCCGTCGTCTACAAGTGTGCATGATATACCTGTAATCTGCAGATGTACCTGTATCTACATGCCCACCTCCGTCGTCTACATGTGTGCATGATATACCTGTAATCTGCAGATGTACCTGTAATCTGGAGATGTACATCTACATGCCCACCTCCGTCGTCTACATGTGTGCATGATATACCTGTAATCTGCAGATGTACCTGTATCTACATGCCCACCTCCGTCGTCTACATGTGTGCATGATGTACCTGTAATCTGCAGATGTACCTGTATCTACATGCCCACCTCCGTCGTCTACATGTGTGCATGATATACCTGTAATCTGCAGATGTACCTGTATCTACATGCCCACCTCCGTCGTCTACATGTGTGCATGATGTACCTGTAATCTGCAGATGTACCTGTATCTACATGCCCACCTCCGTCGTCTACATGTGTGCATGATGTACCTGTAATCTGCAGATGTACCTGTATCTACATGCCCACCTCCGTCGTCTACATGTGTGCATGATGTACCTGTAATCTGCAGATGTACCTGTATCTACATGCCCACCTCCGTCGTCTACATGTGTGCATGATGTACCTGTAATCTGCAGATGTACCTGTTCCTCATGCCCACCTCCGTCGTCTACATGTGTGCATGATGTACCTGTAATCTGCAGATGTACCTGTATCTACATGCCCACCTCCGTCGTCTTCAGGTGTGCATGATGTACCTGTAATCTGCAGATGTACCTGTTCCTCATGCCCACCTCCGTCGTCTACATGTGTGCATGATGTACCTGTAATCTGCAGATGTACCTGTAGCCTATTGTGTCCCTTATCAAGGCATGTGGAGAATGTCATGTAAATATATAATGTCACGTTATAAATACAAACGATACAAGTAATATTTAGCATTTCAGCCTTTGATGAAAATACGCGGCAAGCTGGAACCAGGGTGTTGCTCGTGTCAAACAGATCTCACAAATAAAACAACAAAATATGACTGGGAGAAAACTGTCAGACTAGGAAAACCATTGAAACAAAAGGAGGATGACTAATTGTGAACAAGAGTTAAAACATTGTGACATATATCCTCTGTTAAGAGCCTCCGTATATTATAGGATGCATGTACAGGTTTAAAAGAGCCAAAATCTTTGGTAGGTACAGGAGTATATTTCATGACTTAAGGTTGCAACTGAAACACCTCTGGTGAATACATTTGTATATGTCACACTGTGGTCAGTCGCCACAAGAGACTGGACACTAGGGCTGCAGCGACTCACGCAGACCTCGATTCGAGTTTTGATATTGGACCCTCGATTTGATCATTTTCGATTTGATTCTTCATACAAAAAACATCAGATTTAATTTAACTCTCAGAAATGATTAAACAAAACGTATCACATTGAAAACCTTTCTCCAAGATTTTCCAAGGAAATCAGGAATGTAAAGGATGTAACCTTTTTCAAACAAATATAATATGATGTTTAACCACAGAACAGCACTTTGGTGATGTCTACCATCAACAGTTCTCATTGGATAATTAGTCCAGCATCAACCAATCACGTTTCACCTAATTTAAGCGCTGTATTGGTTGGAGTCAAAATTACATTCTCTCTGTGTGGAAATAATTTAAATAGATATTCAAATATCGAATCGAAATAGTGATACTAGCATTATGCTTATCAAAAATCGAAACTAAGGTGTCTGATTTGATTTCGATCAAACCGAATCGTCACAGCCCTACCGGACACCACTGTTAAACGTACTGATTTCTCACCATTATTTCTTACAGCCCTGGCAATGACTAAGCAAAGACTCCCTTCTTGTGACACAGATAACATTAACAATAAGATGGTATATACTAAGGCTAAAATAACATGTACATCTGGATCCAGATCCACAGACCGATGCCAGTCTTCATGTAAGTCTTGGTAAGGAAAGGCAGCTTTGTGGAACGGTATCCTGGGATTCTCTCAACACAGCAGCTGGCTGTTGTTGGTCCCCGTGCTATAGGACTATTCAAGGAACGTTCCTTGTGTAATAAAACTAATGCTGATTCAGATGCTGACAGTATAACAAGCCATCAAAACTGAGAAACTAAAATATAACTGTAAAGGTGAAAAAAGTGTAAAACTTGTAGCATGTCAAAGTACATGTAAATGATGATTAGAAATTAGTTGTTGTCATCTTACCTTTGTACACATAGTTTAGGTTGAGGAACTGACTACAGTGAGGTTCCGTTAAAGCTCCGTTAATAGACTATACTCCTCACAAAAAATTAAGGAACAAGTGTATTTTTGGTCAGTACATATGCCTTTACTCATGATCATTACAACTGAATCAAACATAACAAAGATAAAGCATATCCACACACTTTTCCAACAAAGAAATCAAAATTCATTGAACAATAACTGACTTGCAAATCATCAAAAACAGTGTCACTGAAAAAGCCGTGCAAAATGTGTTGCATCAGGGTATGAAAAATGTCTGAAAACACTTTTACTGTCAGTTTTGAGCACTGATCCAAAGTTTAATAACGTGTATGGCCACCATTGACCTGGAATACACGCTTCAAGACGTCTAGGCATTGACCAGATGAGTCTGTCTAGAGTCTGTTGTGGCAATGTTCTGCCATTCTTCCGCAATGCCTGTTCAAGCTGATCCAGAGTCTGAGGACGAACGTGGAGGCCGTACACACGCCTTCCGAGGAGGTCCCAAGCATGTTCAATAGATTCAGGTCAGGAGACCTTGCAGGCCAGTCCATATGGGTGATGTTGTTGGTCTGAAGAACATCAGTGACAACGCTTGCCTCGATGTGGACGGGCATTGTCATCCATGAAGATGAAGTTAGGACCTGCTTGCTGAGCCCACGGAATGATCACAGGTGTGACAATTTCGTCTCGGTACCCTCACACCTGTCATGGTACCTCGTCTGATGACCACAAGATCAGTTCGTCGTCCAACTTGATTCCTGCCCAGATCATCAAACTCCCACCTCCATACTGATCATGTTCAGCAATCGTACAGTTGGCGTATCGTTCGTTACGGTTTCTCCACACACGAGCCCTACCATCATTGAAGTCCAGACAGAATCTTGACTCATCTGTGAAGAGAACATTATGCCAGCGATTGACTCTCCAGTTACGTCGTTGGTTAGCCCACCCAGTCTCTGCTGACGATGGTGTGCAGGCAGGATACGTTGCACTGGTCTTCGGACCTGAGACCTTCAGCATGGAGTCTGTTCCTCACTGTCTGTGTGGAGATTCTGTTCCCAGCAACTCTCTGGAGGTCATTCTGGAGAGATCTGGCTGTGGTGAACCTGTTCCGCCGGGCTAGGGTGGCTGAAGTATCGGTCCTCTCTGGGAGTTGTCACCCTTGGACGACCTGAGCGTGGTCTCTCAGTCATCAATCCGGTCTGTTGGTGACGAGTGATCGCTCTGGAGATGACGCTTCGATGAACATTGAAATGGTTGGCAACAGCACTCTGGGTCTGACCCCTGCACCATTCCAACAATTTGAGCAACTTCAATTGGTGTCAAGTGACGCCTAGCCATTTCTCAAATGTTACTGTCAACAATTTGTCGTTGCTGGCAGTTTTAACGCAATCAGAACGCATGTGCGACGTGTATAGCACATGTTTTCCATGCATTTTGCATGTGAGTTTTGAGGGTGGTTGCGTTCAGGCGGTGCTAACAATGTTATCAGAAAAACAATATGGGAAATGCTTTAAGTTCATCAATCGTAAAGGGTTCTCCTGCATGGCTTATATGCCAAGTAATAACTTCATATACCCATGAAGAAAATATGTGGAAAAAAATACTTGTTGCTTAACTTTTTGTGAGGAGTATAGTTGCCCACCTGTGACATTGTGGTGATGCTTGGAGTATGCTCCGGTGATACATGGGTGAGCTCTGGTTACGACCTAGTTACACACCAGTGATGCTCGGAGTATGCTCCGGTGATACATCGGTGAGCTCCGGTTACGAACTAGTTACACACCAGTGATGCTCGGAGTATGCTCCGGTGATATATGGGTGAGCTCTGGTTACGAACTAGTTACACACCAGTGATGCTCGGAGTATGCTCCGGTGACACACGGGTGAGCTCTGGTTACGAACTAGTTAAACACCAGTGATGCTCGGAGTATGCTCTGGTGATACATGGGTGAGCTCTGGTTATGACCTAGTTACACACCAGTGATGCTCGGAGTATGCCTCCGGTGATACACGGGTGAGCTCTGGTTACGACTACTAGTTACACACAGTGATGCTCTCGGAGTATGCTCCGGTGACACACGGGTGAGCTCTGGTTACGACCTAGTTACACACCAGTGATGCTCGGAGTATGCTCCGGTGACACACGGGTGAGCTCTGGTTACGAACTAGTTACACACCAGTGATGCTCGGAGTATGCTCCGGTGACACACGGGTGAGCTCTGGTTACGACCTAGTTACATCCCAGTTACACCTGTATCATGTTCTGGTAATACTCTGTTTATACTCATTGCTTAACAACTACTCATAATTACATTTATTCAAACCTGTTCTTCCAACTGGCACATAAAATATAATGGATCAACTTCAGGGCAATGTGCAAGAAGAATACCCGTGGACAAACAGACAGTGGACTGTAATAAAACAGCATTAAAAGAGATTCCCTTGACAGTGATAGTTCATAAGATAAGAAACCTTCAACAAAACTGTAAAGTCTTCAACAACACACAAGTAATCAGATCAGCGGACATAGCTACATCCTCACTCCTGTTTGATTCGGATACAAACTTGATTGTAGGGCTGCGCAATATAACCGGTTTACCGGTATTTACCGGTTCAGACATGAAAACAATACGTATTGCGATACGCTGATCGAAAACCGGTATATCGACATGCATTCGGAAAACTTCGTAACACTCGGAAATCTTCGGATATTTCCGCTTTTTAAATCGTTCTTTTCCTTGTTTCATTAGTGCCAAATATTACTTACATTTTTATTTTGTCATGATTAAAAGTTTTTATTAAAGGTTAATCAATCATAGTCATTTTGTTGTGTTTTTGCTTTATAATCAAGCATTAACTTGATTATAAGTAGTTTTTGTTAAAAAATAATTCTTGCAATATATTTCAATACATATAGCAATATATGCTTTCGCATCGCAATATATCGCATTATCGAAATTCTCTGCAATACCCATCCCTACTTGATTGCATTGCTCATGTCTGATTAGCATCCTCAAACAGTACAAAAATATAGAATACCTGGATGATAAGCAAATGTTCTAATAATACTTCATAAATATTTTAAATATGTGCACCATATAAAACACCTTGTCCACACACATGGCTCTCCCACACACAATCTTTTGTTTAGTGTCAGTTGGGGCCAAAATTTCAAGGAGGTGGTAGAAAAATTATCAAAAAGCTTCTATGAATTATGAATTTCTATGACTGGATGAAAAGCCAACCAGTTTTCACTGGGACTTAAAGTTCTAATTTGGACGAAAAAGTTAAATACTGATTTTAAGCTTGGTTCAGCTTTTTCATGTTGACAACCACAAGTATCCGGTCTTTTTAATCAAGGCATCCCACGACAGACCTGGGCTGGTGTAATACCATGCGGGGTAGAGTTTGTACTGCTTGAAACATGTCCGCCTAAACGTCTCAAACACGTCGGCTAACAGCAGTACATCTGTCCTTAAGTACAGGTCGTGATAGTCACCCAGGTTCTTACAACCTAGTTTATCCCATACATTAATAGCGTGCGAGTAATCGTCTTGGGATATTTCCGAGTCTGTCAGATTGCTGTAAAATTCTCTGATGGGGGGTAGTCTGGTCTCAGCGAACTTGGGCCAACTATCCATGTACTCATAGGGGTACACACCCTTCCTGATAAGCAGGGGTCTAGTCTCGGCGTCTGTGTATCGATCGGTAATAGGGAAGGTATCATTGGCCTTGACCAGACTGTCTAATGAAGACAATAAGAATTGTACTGAATCTATGAACCTAAGACCGTTATCTCTCCATGTTGTTGGGGATGCATGTTATATTACCATCGATTTTCGCGATGGCCTGCATGATCAAGTGTGAGTCATACCCTCTCAAGTTGTGAAAGACAACGGGGATGTTTATTGTCTTAGGGGTGATTCTAAGCTTGAGGTTTCACGCTACCATGAGCGGCGCCTCTATACTTACTCGGGTTACGTGACAGTGATCTCTTACCTAATCACCGTTAAGTGGTGAGTCACACACGGACAATTAGTGCTACAGGCGTGAGCTAGCCTGTCGGCTTGGGTCATACGCATGGGAGCGACTCTATACAACGCATTCCTAATAATTTTTTCTTCCTCCTGCAAACACTTAAGAAACCTTTCAGCTGCGTCAGGACCCCTATACACTACCGGAGCTTTCGTTTCCCGTCACAACGGACGACATTAACGGGGATCCAAACCCACAGGCTTCATGCTCCTGTGTTTTGAGTGTGGTTGGGGTACCCCCAACAACCCCGCCTGTGGGTAGAGTATTGGGGGTACCCCCAACAACCCCACCTGTAACAGGTTTGACCAAGGCTTCAAAGTCGGCGTATATGATATAAGGCACAGACATTTGGTTCTTGTGGTTGTCGAATTTTAGGATATTGTCACCTTCCTTGGGCATGTCGACCCGTATGGCCGTCTGCCCCACACCTTGGCAATCCTCCCGGTGGGATTCTAATAAATCAGCTCGGCTGAAACCGTGTAGGCATCTCACACAAAAGTGTTTTTTCCCAACGTGTTTCGACTGGTCGTGCAACAACCGGCTGAGATGTTTGATCCACGTGTAGTGATACTTTTCACCTCGTTGGATCATGAATATATTGATAACGCGAGGGGGGTTCCCCCCCTGTCCCTCCAACACTGGGCTGACCCTGTGTACTATTGTTGTGTTGCCTTCGTGTCCAAAGACATTTATAGCTAGATTATTCTGTTTTTCTACTTTAGTGATCTGGGATATGGGGGTTGGTTCATCTATACCATCCCAGTTGAGCCCATCATCTTGGGGATAGCTAGAAAGCCTGTTCGAATTAGTGTCAGCTGGAAACAAGGCTGACCTGGTAGCTACCCTCAGGCAATCGTCTCCTCTATTCTTAACGTTTACTATGGCATGTTTTTTCCTATAGTAGGGGGGCAAGTCTAGGTATGACCCGCCTCTGAACGGCACGTAGTTAGCTATGTCTAGATAGACATTATCGATTTTATCTACAGCCCACCCGGACCCCAAGT